TTCACAGACAGTCTCAGGAAGGGGTTTAACAGCCGCTCCTTTGGGTTAGTGCTTTGGGGGTCCTTGGATCCTAAAGTTTTCAGTTGATTGAGCAACTGAATCAGCAACACTTAGATTGGAAACATTTTTTAAAAAATAATTAATCCTGCACATTTCTACCAGCTTGTTACCAGAAACAGGTTCCATGATTGAAAATGAGAAGAACTGATCCTCCATTTTCCTGCTCAACTTTTTGGCCTTGTGCTTTTAGATCTCTTAGGGTTTTGTGGACGCTAAAATACAACGAATGAGGCCTACTCCTTCCTCCAAAGCTACTTCACTCTCAGCCCTGTGTATCCTGGTCCCTTCCCTCACCAGCACCTCACCTCCAAGAGTGTGTAGGGGTGAGAAGGTGGACGGGATTACAGGAAGGTTTCTAGAAAAGCAACTGAATCAAGTCGGTGTCCAGTGGCCCCAGAGAACAAGGACATCTGGTAGTTTGAGAAATCTCAAGATGGCGCCTCCGGGGCTGCCTCCCATTTTCCTTACCCACCCAGACCCCAGCAGGTCCCTGCTGCCTGGCGAACTATCTGCTCATCAGATCAACATGTTCTTGATCAGAATCAGTTTAAAAAAAAAAATAGTGATGGTGGGTATTTATATTGACTAGCATGCTGTTTTTCCTCGTTAGGGAGCAGGCTGACTTTCCAGAATGGACCTGTAAGGTTAGGCAGCAAAAAAGCCTAGCTTGTTGGCCCGTCGACTGGTTGGAAGCAGAGAAATCAGAGGAGCCCGGGCTACGGAAAGGCCCCAAAGTCCTTTTTACTGACATCCTTTCCTTTGCTTTTCTTTACCGAAGGGGCCCAGGGAGGCCGAGTCAGGAGCTGTGTGGCTTGACACGGGGCCCACAATGCTGATGCCCCGTGGTCTTCTCTATATGAACCTTTAAACTCTGAGAACTTTACCGGCGGGGAAAAAAAAAATCTTGTGAACAAGGGAAGGCCCAAGGAGATGGGTCTCCGTGTGGATTAAAGAAAGCGGATGTTGAGCGGCTCGCTCTGCGCACCGTCCGCGGGGAGCGCGCGAGCATCCGCCTGGCGCGGGAGGATGCGCTGGCGGCCCTGGTCCTGCTTCATTGCTTCAGGTGCCTCCGTCCCCCGCCCCGCGCTCCCGGGACAACCCCAAGCCCTCCCGCCGCCGCCGTCGCCGCCGCCGCCAGCTTCCCCTCCCCTTGGCATTGCTTGGCTTTAACTTTGCGCCGCGTCTCTGCTGGCGGGGCTTGTTGCCGGGAGGTGCAGTGGGCAGTGGCGGCTCCCGCTGCGCAGCCGGGGGAGGAGAGGGCCGAGCGCGGCTGCGGCCGCGGCGGAGGCCGGGGTGGAGGCGGCCGGGGAGGGGTGATGATGGTGTTCAATGTGGCCGCGCAGCTCCCCGGGGAGCGCGTGAAAGGGGAGTGCGCTCACCAGCTGACAGCGCGTGCTCCGCTCCAGACGCTCCGCACCGCGGCCAGGAGCCGCTGCCAGCCCCTCTATTGTCAGCCGCGCTCTAATTAAGAAACACTCGCATTACGCCGAGCCACCCCCACGCTTCTTGGTTCCTGTCCTTTTCTTTATCTTCCTCCGACTCCTCTCCTCCCCTGCCTCCTAGGATTTAACCCGTTCTCCGCCCGGCTCCCCTTTTTTTGCTATGGGGCAGGAACTTGGCGGTGGGCGCCTGCGACCCTTCTCGGCCCGAAGGGAGAAGACAGCTGCCGCGTGGACACTCAAAATCAGCGCGGAAAACTTACACCTTTGTTTCCACCCGTGCCGCGTCTCGCGTGTCTTATCACGTCTCACGAAAAAACAGTTGCAAGCAAGTTCACTGCACTGGTCATCTGTAACTCTGTCCAGCACTTGCTAGTTGGTCTAGACCACAATGGACCGGTCTGGATAGGAACTGACAAGTGAACCTGCTACTTTTCCTGTCCAGTTCTGCCTAGGGTTTGGGACAGACGGCTGAAACTGATCATATTTTTCGTGAAGTTTCAAGTGCGCTGAGGAGAGAACTAGTACAAGATCTCCTTTGATAAAAAAGCCACTTACTTTATTGGTTCGGGTTTAAATCGCTCAGATCAATAGCAAGACCTCGTGAAAGTATCGGTCGTGCATTGGTTAAGATGAAGGAAATTAGCCCTCCCCGCTTTTTTCCCCCTCTCTGGTCTAACGCGACCCTCGGTCAGCAGCGTCCCATAGAGAACGTGTTACACTTGCCCGTTGCCAAAAAATAATCTTCCTCCAGCTCTCCGTGAAATCAAATAAGTTTCCCCAAGTGTAGGCAGCCAAAATGTCCCACAAATAAAATTGGTGGTGGAGCTGGAGGCAAAGACAGAATATAAAGCAAGCTGCTTAAAGTATATAAAACTCTAGAAAGCCCCAGCAGTGTCGGGAAGGTCCAACCCGATTTATCTATCTTCATTACTTTAAGAAATGCTGGCTCTTTGTTTGTTTGGGTGATATTAAGCATGCTTAACTTGCGCACATAGTTGATGCCTTTGCTAGTATCTTGGATACTTGGGTCTGACTTTGGAAGGTAGAAGCTAATTGCTAATAATGGAGAGAAAGGAACCAGTCAGCATGGCAGGAGTGGTCTGGCATATGGGGAATGAGCGCTCAGAAATACTCAATATTCAAGTTTCCAAAATATTAATGAGATTATAGCAACCTGCAGCTATATGTTACAGCTTGTTAATGGAGTGTAAGAGAGTGAACTGCCAAACGGTTGTTATGCAAACTCCATAACAGAACCTTAAAATGGAAATGTGATTGTACATCTCTTTCAAAGAAATGTCAGCATAAAAGAGAGAGAGAGAGAGAGAGAGAGAGAGAGAGAGGAGTAGAATTAAGAAAAGAGGTGAAAGTTCTCATTTGAACTTTGAGCAATCAATTTACCACAGAGATTTGACTTTTTGTGCATGTTCTGATGGGTTAGAACCGCTCTTCCTATCAGCCTGATACAGAATTTTCAATAACAATATTCTGTTAGGGCTGTTTTACTCTTGAGCAGGAGAATAAAGGACTTTCATAACTGGGAAGCTGAAATTTTCTCCAATTCTGGTGTTAGACCACAAGCAGCTAAGAGTATGAATATCTGCCTCTTATGGTGGCACAAGCCCTTCCCTAATATCTGGACACCTATCAATCGATTTTCTTAGAGGAAACTACAGGGGAGCGTCGACCTGGTGGAAAGGAGTAGCAGCGAACGATTCTGGACATTGCCACTTTCTAGCTGAGTGGCTTCAGGGCGAATTAGGGGCAGCAGTTTCTCATTTATACAAGATGTAAAGGAAGATGTTCCCGATGTCCTTTCTGTTTTTGCTATTTGCATATGTCCGTGCAAAGGAATACCTTTGACCAAGTTTGACCAAGTCTTTTTGACACAAAATGAGCATAAATCATTTTGAAAAATGAAATAGAGATTGCTTTCTTTTACCACAAAAAAAGTACAACTTTTTCCCTTCTGCCTGTCTTTGCCCTACACAGATTCATAACAGGTAAAACAATTCTAGATCGTCTTCTCTCTCTCTGCACGCACCCAAACACCCTGAGCTAAGTAACCATAAAAATATGTGTTATTCTGCACTGGTGCTGGTGCCGGATAGCCACACCTGTTGGGTCTGCTCGTTGCGAGTGAAATGGAAATGTGTTGGAAGCAATCGCTTGATTTATTCAGTAGCCTGAAGATTCCTGATGCTTATCATAGCACAACAAACTCGGTGGGTGCAAAAGGTTATCTAAAGGACAGGTGCATTGTTTCTGCCCCTGGAAAGTGTCACGGGCTGCTGTTCACCTCTCCAGGAGAGCTGTCCAGGCTGTCTGAGAGCCCTCGAAACGCTAGTTCTGCAGTTTCCTCCTGGAGAACAGAACTCCTGCTCCCTTAGCACCTTACTTGCTCTACAAACCCAGTTTGTGGCGCTGTCATCTCTTCAAGGGGCTGGAGGTAGAGATGGATGCAGCAGCAATGAAACTAAACTCTCTTCACTGTGTGTGTGTGTGTGTGTGTGTGTGTGTGTGTCCTTCCCCTGAAATTTGTTATCTCAGTGAAGACATAAAGCAAAAGATTTGGCTTAAAATCCAAGTTTTCAAATTCAGCGATGCTTCTTTTTTTTCTGATTAAATGTCATTTAATCTTTAAGAAATAGTTGTACCCTGAGATTTGCCAACCAAATATCTTTTTAAAATGCTGACTTCAGCTTTCTCCAAACACACAGGATTGCGTTCAGCTTTCCCAAATCTACAACCCCGACTCCCAGAAGAGGTGTTTTGTTTCCTCTGTAAGGGTACCCGGGATGTGAAGTGAGAGCGCTCTTGAGGTTCTGCTACTGGCTCAAAAGTGCAATTGAATGTTTTCTTAATAGAAGCTAATTCAGGTGAACTAAATAAGCATTCGCTTGTATATTGGAAGCAGCAGGATTTTTGGAAACAGAAAATTGAGTGGAGGTCAACACTTTCCTAGGGCAACTCCAGGCTTCTATTTTAGGTTGAAATAATGAATGCTGATTTCCTTTCCCCCAAGTTCTTTTCCATTGTCCTCTTTCTGTCTTAGGGCTCCCCTCCCTGAAGGGGGGAGGAGGGGGAGAAAAGGAGAGGGAGAGAGAGGGAGAGGGAGAGAGAGGTTGTCTTGTGTATTAGACCTATAGGAAAAGCTTTCCGCTGGGCTACTTTTTAATCAGTGGACACAGCTAACTGGTAAAGCTAACTATTTCTGGCTACATCCTGTGCAACCTGAAACATTTGCCTCTTCTTGCACAGACTGTTGGAGCTGGGAAAATGGAAGACTGGAAAGAAAAGAGTGATCTCACAACTTTGGGTGTTTTTCTGAGTAAGGCTTCTGATGGTCCCTGAAGGCATCCAGTCTACAACATTTTTCTTTAAAGCTAGGAGACTGCGTAAATTCATGTTTAGTCAAAGACTGACTTCAAGTCTTCAAGGTCCTTTAAAAAATGTGTTCAGCGGTTCTACTGGAATGGAATAAGTGACAAATAAATGTTAACTTTTCACGTTTATTTTTATCATTTGCCAAAGGAAATACATAAAACAATGGCAGTTGGCTTTGCTAGGTTAAAATAAAATGATCTCAAATAGAAAATGTAAAAAAAAAGTGAATCAAGGCAAGTAGAAACAGTAGCAAACACTCAATAATAAATAACTTTTTCTAACATCACCAAAGCAAAAATAAAATTGATCAAATGCTTTTGACACTACCAGATGTGTTTTTAAATTTTTTCACTTTTTTAAAATGAACATTTGCAAAAAAGAGCATAAGGACTATTAGTGGCTGTGTTTAAAAATAAAAACAACACCAGCAGCGGGTCTGTAGTTGGCAGTTGAGTTTCTTCTTGGAGTCAAGGCAGCGGCAGCAGCAGAGGGTTATCAAGTGCGTGTGCCAAGGGTCTCCGAAGACGCCCACGCTCTCGCCAGCACACGGACTTACTGGCTTCGCTTCGACAGCGTAGACGCCCTCACCTTCCCAGTTCCCCGATCATCCCACAGCCAAAAGTTATTCACTTTGGAAGCATTCGCTTTGCGTTTCAGAATACATTTTGGAAGACTAACCCTCCCACACGTGAGGGAGCACAACACACAGGGACGGATGCCCAAGGGCGTGAAATCAATTAAACCCGAACCAGCGACAGAGAGGAAGGTGCGAGGTTTGGTTTTGTTTTGTTGTGCAGCGGACTGGCAGCGGGGAGCTGAAATAACGATGTCACCTCTGGGTACGGACCGTATAGCCCGTCTGCAGGGGGAGCGCAAGGTGGGCGGGAAGGCAGCACTTGCACAGTTAAGTTTTCATCAACCCCCGCGGACCGTAGGAAGTCGGGAACAGCGGCGGCATCCGCAAAGCCTCCAACAAAGCTGCCGTCTGAAGCCAAGTCGTTGCTAAACAACGACGGTCGCAGAGCACGACTGAAAGGGTGCGGGGATCTCGAACCGCGGGGGCTTCCCGCGCCTGGGGAGAGGGCGGTTCTGTGTCTGTCTCAGTTTTCAGGGCTCTGTGCCTCCTCCCTAACTCGCCTCGTCCGAGTCGCTGTAATGGGAGCGGGGGGAAAACTCGCCGTCGCTTCTGTGCGACCGCGGCGAAGTTTTGCTACTTTCCTCCTGCACCGGTGGCAGGAGGCCGCCGGGCAGCGAGGGCGACAAGTTCTTTGGCGCCATCATCGCCGTCAGGGCGCTGTCCTCGAACGCGGAGAAGTGCAGAGCGTCCAGCGGCACCGCGTACCCTCCCGCCGCCGAGGCCTGGCCGGAGAAGCGAGTCCGGCAACTCCCGGGCGCGGCGGGCCGCGGGCCCCCTCCCGAGGTCGGCGGGGCCCCCGCCGCCGGCGCCGAGCCCGCGCCGCTGTCGTAGGAGGCGGCGCCGGCGCGGAGGTGGTGGTGGTCACTTTTGCAGGAGGTCGGAGGCGGCGGCGGCGGGGGCGGCGGCTGCTCCCCGCCGCTGGGCGTCTGCAGCAGCTCGGACAGGGCGTTGATGTAGATCTGGGCCATCTGCAGGGTCTCGTACTTGGACAGCTTCTTGTCGTTGTTGAACGAAGGGATAACGTTGCGCAGCTGGTCGAAGGCGTGGTTCAGCCCGTGCATCCGGCGCCGCTCCCTGGCGTTGGCCGCCAGCCGTCTTTGCTTCTGCACCCCGTTCACCTGCTTACTGGAAGGGGCGCGCTGGCGGCTGCAACCCAGCTCGTCCACCACCACGCCGCCTTTCAGCTTGCACAGCTGTTCCCGCACCTTCACGGGTCCCGGGCTCTTGCCGCCGCCACCGCCGCTCCTCCTTCCCAGCTCCCCCCGGCCGTCCGCCTGGTCCCGGGGCGCCGCGGCCTCGGAAGCACCCAGCTCCGGGGAATGCAGCAGGTACTGGGCGGCGCGGGCCGTGCAGATGCCCTGCAACGTGGGAGCCAGCCAGGCGCGTGGGTCCGTGCCGTCCAGGAGGGACAGCTCGGCCGGGTAGACGGAGTGCTCCCGGGCCTGCAGGGCCGCCGGTGGCTGGGGCGGCGGCGGCGGCGGTTGCGAGAGGTGGTGCGGCTGGGGGTGGCGAGGGTGCTCCCCCAATTCCTTCACTTCAGCCCACTCTTCTGCATGCAGCAGGCGGGACATCGCACTTGCACAAGGCTCGGAGACGCAGGCTCGGAGGAGGCACCGGCAAAGCAGCTCAATCACCCAAAAAAAAAAAAAAAAAAAACACACAAAAATCCACAACCCTAGCCGGGGCTCTACGGCGACGTCTGATTTTGGTCCCCTGCTCGACCCTCCCCCACCCACTCGGAGATCACACACCAGGTCGCGTGCAACGAAGCTTCTCCGGTTGCCGAAAGCGCTGCGCCCCTTTAAAAAGCGGCACGCGCCACTGTGCCCCCCCCACCCCACCCCGCTCCGCTCCCAGCCCCCTCCTCGCGCCAGTCGCGTGTCTGCTCAGCCAATGGAGGGCGCGGGCCGGCGCGTGCGAGCAGCCAATCAAAGAGTTGGTACACCCGGGGAAAAGTTCCTGGGCGCGGAGGCCGCCCGCGCGGGCTCCAGGTTTTTTTTTTTTTTTTTTTCCCTCCTTCTTCTTCCTTAAGTTCGTCAAATTCATATGTTAATTGCGGGGCTGTAATTGGACTCCCGCGTGTGTCACCGCCCCGGCGGCGGGGCTGCGGGAGCCCGGGCTGAGTGGGGTCGGGCGTGCGCGGCGCGGGCGGGCCTGGGCGAGGCTGGACGCGCCCGGCGCCCGGGGCGCACCCGGCGGCGCTGCGGCGCGCGTCCGCCTGCCTGCCCCGTGTGCCATTTACGATCACTCCTGTAGGATAGCGTGCGACTGTTCCTAGATGTACAGTTGCTAAATAACGCCTTTCCAGCCAAAGAACTGTTAGAATAAAAGCTTGTGTGTGTGAGTGTGTGTGTGTGTGGCAGGGGAAGAGGGTCACTGTCTACCAACATCCAGATGCCCCGGCCCGCTCTGTCCCCCACCCTGCGGCCGGCTGGGGTGGTCCTCTACAGAATGCCCTCGGCTAAGCGAGATTCTAGGGCAGGGGTCTCTTCCAGTGTGATTCGGTGTTTCAACACACACAGGGTAGGACTCCTCTCTAACCGCGCAGCCAGGGCACAGCGCCCGCGCCCCCTGCAAGTCTGATCCCTTGGAAGGGAAAAGCTGGAGTTCTGGAGCCTTCTGCAGCCGGGTGCCCCTGGTTTGCCGCATTTGTGGCTTCTTGCGCAAACATCCAGAAACCACAGCCTAACTCACCCCTACCTCCCGCGTATAGCTGGGGTGTGTGTGCGCTGCCCGGGCGTACATCCCGGGAAGTCCTTGGCCTACATGGGACGCCAACTCCAGCGCCTGCCCTCCCGGGGAGTCCTGGCCACTTTTGTTCACAGAATAGAGCCAACCAGAGGCGTCCTCGGCGGGGCCACGCCCCGGCTTGCGCCTGCCAGGGGGGTGGCCCAGCTCCCCAGTGCTCTGCGTGCTCTCTGGCACCACCACCGCTGGGGCGCGGGGCTGGGATGCTACCAGCCAGTACTCCTGCTGCGGTGGCTGTCACCCTGCAAGGAATTTCGTCTCCTGGCGACCGCGGTGGCCCGAACAGGCAGCAGAGATAGCTCTCAGGAGCCTGTCCTTGTTCAGGGTGCGCAGCCGACTGGAAACTGGTCTTCCTAGTATTCTCAGCAACTTTCTCTAACCTGCCGTGGAACACCTTGAATAGAAGTTTGGCCATTGGGCTGGGTTTGTGGGCGCGCTCTCTCACACACACCCACAACCATCTCCCATAAAGATACTCGAGGGTACAATAGCGTACCAGCTTCCTTGTTGCTGGTGTGTAGGGACAGTCTTGGGCCGTCCCACCTTATCAGCCAGAAAAGGCAGTCCAGTGCGTGTTCAGGCTCTGCTGAAATAAAGTCCCAACCCTAATCTGAAAATCACGGATGAGAATAAAGCAAAAGGAAAGTCCTCCAAGTCTTTCGTAGGGGAGAAAATTATGAGTATTGAGGGTGATTGGGTACTTTTGGAATCAATTCATGGTTCTGTTATTATAAATAGTGCCACTGCATAGAATGTGCTACTTCAAAAAAAGAAATGGCTACTGATTGTGGGTGCCAAAATGGAGCTTTCAAAAAGACGCCCGACCAATATCTGCGTATGAAGAGCAGAGTCAAGCAGCCTGAGCGGGGGAAGTACCCGTCATCTACATTGGGTTTTATTCCGCATCCGTTGACTGTTCCCAGCTGCATCAGCTGGAAGTTACTCCTGGATTTTTGTCACATAACGCCACTACCAAGTGTGTGGGGTGCTCACATTTTCCCTGGGTTTGCATCATGGAGACTTTTAAATCTGCATTAAGTTTGACCAGAGAACTGCCCCCTTTTAATTTTCCTTTGAGTTTAAACAATGTTATAGACTGTAGTCAGAGTACCTAGTCTGTTAGCAAACTATAGAAATAATCCCTGAAAGTATAGTCTTTATGTAGATTAGTGTTCCTAATTTGCCAGTTCCAAAGATACTCAGTATTTCACTTTATTTTTCTGAAGCAAATACCAATCTTTAGGTGAGTAGTTGGAATGTCCCAGTAAAGTGAGGGACAGCAAAGGTTTCATAGTTTATGCTGAAATACGTTTGTTTTGGCCTTAAAATAAACATGGAGCTATTGTACTTCCCCTTCCAATCCCTTTCTCTTCTCTTGTTTCTCTTCCATTAGGTGGGGGCGGGGGAAGTTGGCATCTGAGCTGGGGAAGGAGCATAGGGCCCTGCGTCTGGAGTTGGATCCTAAGTAGTGTGGGCAGGGCCTCCCCAAGGAGGATTTGTGGCATGGGATGTCAAAACAACAAGTGGAGCGAGTGTCTTGGGGGCTGGATGGTGGCAGCAGCAGCCCAGCATGAGGTGTCGCAGTTCAAGCAGTGAAGTGGCCTTCTGTGTGTGTGGGCAGCCGGATTAGTTACATAGTGGAAGCATTGATGAAAAAAGTAAATATTTGAGGACAATGAGAATAGGTTTCTCATTGTGAGAGAAGGGGATTACAAATATGTACACGGAGGCTCCTGGGTTGTTGGATTTAATTGGAGATGTGAATATGAATTTATGGCTTACTGTAGATGCATAAATGATGTAAAAATAAATATAGGTATAAACATGTGCATGTGTACTTAAACATATGTTTTCTAGCTCTTCTCACTCTCAGGGTCTGAGATAAGTATGTGGACATTCTAGTGCCCCAATTTTAGTTTCTAACTCTTCATTAAAAAGGGATAGTGTTTTTGGAAAAATGAGTTGATTATGGGGCTGGAGCGAAAATAACACAAGATGGATCAAAGACCTCTTGTGTGGCAGATAAAGGAAGTGTACAGAGAATGGTGAAGAAATGGCAAACACCAAGGGAGCCTTCTTGAAGCAGCTTCCAAGGAGAACACCTAGGACGGCTGGGGTATCGAAATAAGCAATGATAGTAACAGATTACCCACACTGGGGATGAAAGGGATCCACGAATCTTCATTAATACAAACAGAATAAATGAATGTGTTGAGGCTGGATACATGCTTCTTAGTTACAAATGAGGGAAGATGGTACCATGGAGATGTGTGCAGACATCAACTTAATCATGTGATCAAAGTTAACATCCCTGGCAGTGGGACAAAACAAATTCACGCATCATTTGTTGGGATGCCAAGAACACAGCATCATCACTTCTGTGATGTAGTCCTGCCGAAGAATCAGATAGTGAATCCAGTCAAGAGCACACATCAATCCAAATTTATTTAAGTTTCCTCTGAGAAAGAACTGTAAATTCTTTCAGGAATTTACTCCATCTGTATTAGTTATCTACCGGTGCTTAATAAATTTCCCCAAACCCAGTGGCTTAAAACAACCAATATTCCCCTTCTCACAGGTCTTGATGGTCAGAGCTGTTTGACTGGGTGGGTATTTTATTTTTTAGGAAGATTTTCTTTAATGAATATAAATTTCATAGGTACAGGTTTTGGATTATAGCGGTTCTTCCCCCATACCCACCTTCCCACACCCAAACCGTCCCACCTCCTACTCCCTCTCCCATCCCATTCTTCAATAAGATTCATTTTTAATTATACAGAAGATCAACTCTATACTAAGTAAAGATTTCAACAGTTTGCACCCCCCCACACACATAGTATACATTACTGTTTGAGTACTAGTTATACCATTAATTCACATAGTACAACACATTAAGGACAGAGGTCCTACATGGGGAGCAAGTGCACAGTGACTCCTGTTGTTGATTTACAAATTGACACTCTTATTTATGATGTCAGTGATCACTCGAGGCTCTTGTCATGAGCTGCCAAGGCTATGGAAGCCTTCTGAGTCCACAAACTCTGACATTATGTAGACAGGGTCATAATCAAAGTGGAAGTTCTCCCTTCGGGGCTGGGTGGTGTTGGCTCAGGGTCTCTTCTGAGGCTACAATTGTCTGAACACTTGGCTCGGAATGGGACTCTGCTTCCTCAGTGGTTCATTTACCTGGGTGGGAGAGGAGGCTTCGGTTTGTTGACAGGTGGATCTCTGCATAGGACTGAGTGTCACCCTCCCCCCAACCCCTGCCATGACATGTGGACAGCTGGCTTACCCCAGAGCAAGTGAAACAAAGGAGAAAGACCCAAGCCACAGTGTCATTTAGCCAATACTTGGACATCAGCCTCTGTTTCTGCCGTATTCTAATCATGGGAGGTTGCTTACTAAGTCATGCTCACAATTAGGCCCTGAAGGGAAGGCATAAAGAATTTGTGGATGTAGGTTAAAACTGCACAAAATCCTTTTGTTTTATAATTTTTCTGCTTATTTTTCCAACATTTAATTTCTCTTTAAATGAGGAGATACCTTAATAAACAGAGATAACGGTAGCTGAAGGTTCTAGAAATTGTTATGTGGAGGTTAGAGTCAATGAGTCAATCTCAGTGAACCATAGGTGAAGGAAAACTTCAGATTTTCTGTTTCTGAGGAAATTTCAGATGACATAGAAATTATGATGGTTAATTTCCATTGTATTTTATTTCCTGCTACTATGTGATACCTCCTTTTGTTTCAAAGTTGAGTATTTATTGTTTTAAATAAGTACATACTATTAATACTAATAATACTATTATTATTAATATTAATAATGATTAGAAACAGTGATATGCAGTGAAGTGTA